GGTTTTGAGTTGTATGTAATCGAGACATTACAGGATGTTCTACTGAAATGCCCATGTGTTTTAAAGAGTTGGACCTGTGTCTTTGAGGGGTGATGCGTGCCTCTGATGGCCCTCCAGCGGGGACCTCCTCCTCCCCATGTCACTGCTCAGAGCCGCTGCCTGAAGTGGTGTTTGCTACCAGTGGGTGCTAAAACTGGCACCAGACCAAATGGTCTCAAGGCTTACCTGAACCAAAACTAACGTACTTCCATTTCTGAAATCCAAACAAGCAGTGACCTGTGTGTCAGCACCTCAGCAGCTGCCCATTTGGGTTTCAGAAACAGAAGTACACTTAGGAGAAGTTGCAGAAATTTCCTGCATCCTAATGGAATAAATTCTGATTTGCCAAGGGGGTGCTGCCTGACTTCTCCTACCACAATCCCCATCAGCAGGATCAGACATACTTTTCTGTAATCAGAGTTTAATGGCTTGTAGTTTGTGGGTTGAGCTCCAGTAATTGACTGACTAGAGCTGTTATTTCCCTGCAAACGCAAGGGAAAACCCCTTTCCCTAAAACTTGGCTAAAGGAAGTTTTATTTGGCATGCATTAGCCCACACTTGCAAAGCTGAAGGCTGTATACACAGTCGGTTAGCACAGATCACTTGAAGTATCATCAACAGCTATGTTAGGATTAATGGAGTTGTATGAACTCTGTGGTAGAAACATCTGTAGGCAAACTTCGTTAGCTCCACATCTGCAAATTAGAAACCCTTCTACCCTGTTTGGGGTTTGTTATCTTTAGTGATCACCGTGAAAGGTGGAGCAGCTGTGAGGGCTATTATTGAAGCTGATGTATAATGATGGCAAGAAAAGGTAGGGTGTTTAGACAGATGATACAAAGAACAGCTTTGCGAGAGGATCATTAAATTCATGTTCCTCTGAGCTCTTAGGAGCAGGCGTGCATTGAAAGGAAGGGCATGAGTGAGATCCTCAAGCCTACTGAGGCTGTGTTCATAGGAGTATCTTCTAGATTGTCATTGCAGCGCCCGTCAGAGGAGGGACTGGGGAGAGCGGAGGAGGAGAACAGCTTTCCCCTACAGAGGCAAGTCATCTACAGAGGTGTCCTCAGAAGTGCCATTATGCATTTCAGCGGTTTCCAAAAGAAGTAACGTCGTTATTGAGGAGAACAGTAACGGCTTCAGTTGTTTGTGAGGCACTTGGTGTGCCAGGCTGGTCCTCAGTCTGGAGGAGGCTGATGCTGGAGGACGAGTAGTTAGTGATAGGACGAGAGGAAATGGGCTTAAGCTGCGCCAGGGGAGGTTTAGGTTGGAAATTAGGAAAAATTTCTTTACGGAAAGGGTGGTCAAGAGTTGGAACAGGCTGCCCAGAGAAGTGGTGGAGTCACCATCCTTGGAAGTGTTCAAAAAACAGGTAGAAGTGGCACTTTGGGACATGGTTTAGTCTAGTGTACCCTTGATTGGTTTAGAGTAGACTTGGTAGTGTAGGTTAATGGTTGGGCTGGATGATCTTAAAGGTCTTTTCCAACCTAAACGATTCTATGATTCTATGACTCTGCCATCAGCAGAGACGTCAGAGCGGAGTGTGCGAGGGACGTCGGTGCCAGGTGCATCAGTGCCTTGGGTCTGGCAGAGGCGCAGCTCGTCATGCCAGCAGTTGTTCTGGGTTTGGTGACCAGCCAGTGGCGAGATAGATGACAGACCTTGTCTGGCCTTGTTGTGGTTTAACCCGGCAGGCAGCTAAACACCATACAGCCCTTTGCTCAATCTCCCCCCCCCGCGGTGGGATGGGGGAGAGAATCAGGGACAAAAAAAGGAAAATTCATGGATTGAGATAAAGACAGTCTAATAGAACAGGAAAGGAAGGGAAAAATAATAATAATAATATACAAAGCAAGTGATGCACAATGCAATTGCTCACCACCTGCTGACTGATGCCCAGCCAGTTCCCGAGCAGCGATCGCTGCCCCCCGGCCAAGTCCCCCCAGTTTCTATACTGAGCATGACATCATATGGTATGGAATAGCCCTTTGGGCAGTTTGGGTCAGCTGTCCTGGCTGTGCCCCCTCCCAGCGTCTTGTGCACCTGGCAGAGCATGGGAAGCTGAAAAGTCCTTGACCTAGTGTAAGCACTACTCAGCAACATCTAAAACATCAGCGTGTTATCAATGTTATTCTCAAACTAAATCCAAACCACAGCACTATGCCAGCTACTAGGAAGAAAATTAACTCTATCCCAGCCAAAAGCAGGACGGGCCTCTAGCTTGAGAGGGGCAAGAAGCAGGCAAGCGCTGACAGAGCATCTCTTCCAAACGCCCGGTCCTGGGGAGGGACGGCTCTCCTGCCGTCGCAGGGCTGCTCTTCCCCCAAGCTTTGCTGGTCCTGTTGTAGCTCTTGCTCCTGACTCAGGGGCCAGGACACGGGGCTGGTGGTTCCCAGGTACTGTGCAGATCTGCAGAACATCAGCAGAGAGAGGCACAGCCTGGAGAGGTGGTTTTTTCCTCCCCTGGCTCTGGTGAGGACTGCAGGGATTATTTGGGGGTAAGAAAGCTTTCCTTGCTTTCAGCTCCACGTAGGAAAACAGTCACTTTATCAACCACTTGGCACGTGTGCTTCAGCGAGGCAGAGGAGGCATGTGGAGTCTCCATAATTAATATCAACGACTTTCTCAGAGGAGGGGATAAAACCTGAGTCCTGGAAACTTAGATTCCCTTCTGGTGCTGAGGGAAGGGGAATAAGGGAGGTATTATTAGAAAGCATTTCTTTTATTTAACAGATGTTAAATAGCACTATACCACTATATCAATCTGTCAATTACACTAATAGGAAACAGTGTATAGAAAAGTTAGGAGATGCGAATTGTACAGGGAAACAACTGCCCCCCTTCTGCAGGATCCCGGTGCTGGGGCGGGCGTGGCCCCAGCCCACGGTGCGGAGCTCAGGGAGCGGCCACGCGTATGCCGGGCATGTGTGGATGGAAAGGGGAAGGAATAGGTGTGGACCACCACAGAAAGAACTTGCTGCAGCTGGACAGGTTCTCTCCCACACTGTCCTGGTTGGTGTGCTTGAAACCGGATTAAAAAACCCTTTAAAGCTGAGACCATCTTTGGGTTTTTGACAATGTATATGTATCATGCTATAGGTTTCAGTGGTGTTACTCAGCATGATTTTCAGAACTTAGGTTAATTAAAGTCTGGAGGGGAAGAACAAACCTCTAAGGATGCTTAAAGGTTGCAAAGCAAGCCTGGCTTTGCAGTAGCGTGCGTTGGTCCCAAGTCGGACCCAGCACCGTAACAAGAGAGACCGGTGGCGTTTTTGTCTCGGGCACTGTATTGCTTCCTTAAGCTTGTCCTGGTGATCCCCAGGCCCTGCAGCCAGCCCAGTTTGGTACAGTTTTATTAACATAGCTGCGTGGAGCCCAAGGTTAAGTGATGAGAATTTCAAAACAAAACAATAAATTAATAAAATGAACGTGTCACCAGCTGATCCTCTTCTGACCACCATCTGTCCCCGGATCATGTGATGTCTCCCAGCTGGCCACCCAAGAGACAAACCATCCAAGACCATCATCACAACATATGCTGCTATTTACACGTTTTTAAAGGTAATAGTTGCTAGGCTGTCGTATTAGTAGTTAAAAGTAATTATTTGGAAGCTAGGGGATTTTTTTCTTTTTTTTTTTTTTTTTTGTTGAGGAAGCCAGTGACTCAGCAGGTATATTTCTGACAGAGACACGTTCAGGGTTGGAGCAGTGGAAGTTCCTATGTACAGTATATGTGATTTCTCCCCCCCTCTCCTTTATTCTATGGTATGTTGTTTTACTGTTTGTGATTAAACAATAGAATAAATAAAATAGAAAGAAGGCAACAATACTACAAATTTTACTAGTGTACCTTTTAGGAACATTATGTGCTCTCTCTGCCATCTCCAGGATGCAAACCAAGCTGTGCATTTTTAAACTATTGTTAAGATCAAGGATGTGGTTATGAGAAGACTTACAATTTATAGGATACTTAAGCATTAAGGATTGAGGCACAGAACATTTCCTGGGGATTAATGACTGACTGGGTGAGCCTCAGGCCATTAACCCCTGCCTGTCATTAATTTTCAGGAAATGCCCTGCAGTGAGGTCGTTATTGCTGTTATGTGCTGAAACAGAAAATAATAATAATAATAAAGGTCTGTGGTTTATTTATTTATATTTATATAACACGGTTACGTTGGGGCTGTAGGAGATTAACATCTTTCTCTTTAGATGGCTGTACTGCTTGAATTAATGCAGTTCCTGCATCTCACTCTTTCGTGAAAGATTATTGTCAGATTGCACCAGGGTAAGCGGGGGCAGAATTTGGCCCGCTGCTTGTGTTGCACGCTATTTATTACAATTAATAAGTGGTGCTTGTCCAGCATAAGCGCTGGCAGAATTTAGCCCTATATAGAACCCAGCTCAAAATGCTTGTTTTACAGCAAAGCAATTTATTCACAGTTTAAGCATCTCGCAGCCTTTTTTTAACTCATTGAATAATCCTTTTAGGTTCCCCGTAAAGCAGGTGAAATGCTTCTGCTGCAGTCCTAAGGCAGAACACAGGCTGCATAAATAGCATCTAAATTACCAGGAATACAAAATACACATACAGTAATACATACCTACAAAGGCAAATTCATACTGACAGGACTGCAGTGTGTGCTTATCAGCAGCAAAACATCTCAGGGAAAAAAAAAAAGTGGCTTTATATTGCGATTGTATATACATTTCTCTCTCTATTTAAACACTTAAATACTATTTTCTGCATGTTCTCAAACCCAGATGCAGGCTCCTTTTTAATGAGCCTGCCTGCTTAAACATTTATTAGCTTAGAGATGTATAGTTTTCATAAAGCTGGCTGAAGCTTTTTGCAGAATATCTTTGCAAAAAAAGCTTTTTTTTTTGTGTACACGGCCTCAGTCCTTGCAACCTCCTAGAGAGTCTGTCAAGGCGCAACTTAAAAGCTCGTTCAGGCGACCATGACCCCCTGCTAGCAGATTGTCTGCCTAAAAGGTAAGGGAAAGCTAAAAAAGAAGTGGAAACTTAAAAGTAGCTTCTCAAAGGCTGCATAGATCTTTTTTTTGTTAGACCTAAAGTGTTTAAAAGCTTTAATATTGATGGCCTGTCAACTTTGTCCTGATTCTTTGGCTTTCAGTTAAAAGGTTTTTGTTGTTGTAGCTTATGCAGTTGCTCTGTTGCTATGGAAACGTGACATCAAAATGACGTTTCTCTGTTTAAAAGCTTTTAACTAAATTCCTGCCTGTCAGATGTAGGCCCCATTTTGTGCACTCAAGCTTCAAGCTGTTGCAAAAAGGTTTCATATGTTCTGTTGTCATTCAAATTCTTTATCCACATATGCATGTCTTGCACTACAAAAAACCTAAACTAAAAACTCAATCTATATTAAGTGTCCTCTTTTAAAACCCTTTTAGGTCAGTCAGCAATGGCTGCAGCAGAAATTCCCAGTTACATTGTCTCTTCTCAGACTGAGAAACACAGGAGGGCCAGAAACTGGACTGATGCAGAAATGAGAGGTTTAATGCTGGTTTGGGAAGAATTTTTTGATGAGCTGAAACAAACTAAAAGGAATGCCAAAGTTTATGAGAAAATGGCTAACAAACTCTTTGAAATGACTGGAGAAATTCGCCACGGAGAGGAAATAAAGATAAAAATTACAAATATGACATTCCAGTACAGGTAAGCTTCAGTTAATTCTTTTTATTTTAAGAGATTTTAGCAGGGACAACGCAGTGATTTTTGCCTTTCAGAAAGAAGTCTCCTAGAGGAAATCTGTTGATAAAAGATTAAAGATTGTTCATATCGCTTTTAAAATTCTCTCTTGCCAGTGCTGTTACGTCATTGTTAATTTTTCCCCCATTTCATGTCAAACTCCGGGACAACTTTTGTTTCTTTATAATTAGCTAGCGTTGTTATGATGCAGAGGGATGGAAATGTATTTAGTGGGAAAAGAGATTTATTTTTTTCTCTCTCTTTGCTGAGGGGACGGATTGTGTTAGCCTGGCAGCAGTTCCTTGCAGTGAAACTCCTGCAGTTTGAAGTGGGCAGTGAGAATCGGTATTGCAAGGCAAAGTTTAAAAAAAAAAAAAAAAAAAAAAAATATATATATATGCACAGAATAATGTTTTGGGGGGCTGAAGCTCCTAGATTTTGTTCTCGTGAGTTGAAGGGTTACACTTCACGGGGCCAAGAATAATTGAATGTCTTATTACTGAGTGACACACATTGCTATAATTATAAGCAGCAGCAGCAGCAGCGAAAGAACTATTATATCTGCAGAGAGAGAATCAATGTGCACCGTCAATACTGCTCCAAAGGAGCCGGGGGGAGGGCGGAGGTGTCTACAAGGGGATGATAAAGAACAGGCAGTGTCACTCAGGAGGGGAAGTTGGCTTTAGAGAATGCGAGGCATTTGTGCATTTGTTGTCTGCCGGGGAAAAAAATAATTAGAACTTAACAGAAATATTTGCATATCTTTTCCTTCCTTTTCCTTTTTTTTTTTTAAATTCTTATCTCTGTGAGGCACAAACTGCCTCATACTGGAAATCCTGAGTGGTGATTTTAGCTATGTGCTTGTAATGCAAGAAAATCAAATATGTGACTCTCTTATTTAATCTCTCCTCAAAGCTCGTATTAATAATAAAAAAGGTTATTACAGCAGGCGACCATGTTAAAACTGCTCGCTTTTCTGTAAGGCGCCCTTACTGTATTTAATGCAGAGACTACTTGTCAAATAGAAAACTAGGGAAAATCCTGTAAACCCCTTAACTTTCCATGTCCTCCTCCTACATCTGTATGATCCACAAGCATAATCTTTAACATCGTTTCCCACAACGTTAAACTTGATCTTTTGTAGCAAATGCTGATGTCTCCAAAACGTTGTACTGCCCCTGCTGTAATCCTTACAATTTTCGTCACCCGGACTGTAAATGGGAAAGCTGAAAGTAAGATAAATTTTTGCCCAGCATCACCCAGCGATTCCCACTCGGATGCAGATTTAGAAGTCGGGAGCTGTTGGCTGCCAGGCCTTTGCTTAGTGTGCTAAATCTGCAGTCCGCCCTGCTGAGAAATTCATCTCGTGGCACCGAGATTTTACAGGTGTCTAGCAACACTGCACGATACTTAAATGCCGTAATTGCCAAGTGGAATAGGTTATTTCTGTCAGCCTTTGTTCTGAATTTTCAGTGTTGTCATCAATCACACTGTCTCAGTTTTTCTAATTAATGTTTTTACTTTAAAGTTGCCTTGGGGGAAAGGAAGAAATAAAATCACTCACATACATGCACTCTGGGTGTGTGGGGGGGGGGAAATGCAGCACTTTTTTTTTTTTTTTTTTTTGTAAAATTCTTCTTATGTTTCTGTGAACGTCTAAGATTGCTTCTGTTGCATGTTGTCGTGCTGCTTTTCTATTTTGCAGTGCATTGCAGCTCCCTGCTTTTTAAGATGCTAATTTAGGAGAGTTAGAAAACTGCCTTGCGCTGTCACGGTGCCGTTTCATTTTATACTCTTGAATATGAAATGCAGCTTTCTTATTGTTTGTTCTTATCCAAAGCATGCCTGTGTGCTTTGCTTTCAAGGCGTGGTGGGAGAGAGAACAGGGACAAACAAAAGCTGTGACTTGTAATTTCTAGGTTTCTGGGTACTTTTTGTCGGTTGGTGAGGACAGGAGATGCTGTGATGAAACTGTAAATGATGCGAGTTGCCACCGACTGCTGGCTTTGCTATGAGGCAGCTGAGTTTTAATCCACGTTTTGGTGCCTGGAGGATACCTGAGGAAGACGCTTTACCTTGCTGTATTTCTGTGCATCATCGCTGCCCCATGGCATAAACTGAAAAAGAAGATCCTGAGAGTGGGAAAATGCTCTGTTTTGAGATAACATTTTGCAATGATCATGCAGGGTTAGTAAATGTGACATGGGAGAACGTAGCGC